ATATAAATGCGGTACCGATTCCCACTGCTGTCTCAGTCCAGAGTTGGTCGCTGCTACACTTAGCGACCTCCGGTGGCGACCGGCTCATGCCGTTGATGCCGTTAGTCACTAAGGCTGCGCTTATACTTTGTGGCAGCGTAGCGTAGCGCTACTAGCGTACGCCAGCGTGCCGCTGGTGACGCTGGTGAAGCTAGATCGATATGCATCCTCTCCCGGCACTGCCGCTGGCGTACGCTGGAAGCGCTACGCTACGCTGCCGCAAAGTATAAACGCAGCCTTAGTGACTAGCGGCATCAACGGCATGAGCCGGTCGCCACCGGAGGTCGCTAAGTGTAGCAGCGACCAACCCTGGACTGAGGCAGCAGTGGGAATCGGCACCACATTTATCTAGCGTTTTATATTTCAGGTGCTTTATACTCCGTTGTTCTTGGTAAAGTCGATCTGCAGACAAATAGAAACTCTTATTATAAAATACAACTTCTTAAACACGACACCAAAGAAACGTGAGCTTTGACTTACGACAGTTTCTGGTACATTTTTACTGAAGTAGCTTTTCTAGATACTATCTGTTTCGTTCTTGGGGTCGTGTGGGGACAATTATTGGTGGCACGAGAACGGAAATGTTTCGTAATGAAGACAATGCCATTGAGGCATTCGAACGGTGCGTGTTTGTTACAGTGTAATTTCCAGCTACACTGCGCTCGAGCGCAGGATACGTGTGCCAGAAAAAAAACTGAGCAGATCATGGTAGAGTTCTTGTATCGGAAGCTTGACTTCTCATTCTGAGACTTTTCCTTATCTTGCTTTTGTCTATGCTCGCGATGAGGCTGGCTATCTGAATGAGACTCTCACGTGAAGAGGAGTCGTGAAAGTCTCCTGAAAAGTCAGATTATTATCACCCTGAGAGCTGTAAGTCTCACCGTGGGCCCAGTTAACCCCATTTGACATATCCAGTAAGGTTTTGATTCTTTAGTATTGTTTTACGCAACTGAATCAAAGAATCATAGCATTTCAAAGGATGCTTGGGTCAAACAATTTCTGAATGTCTGACTCGGAAAGGTTGAACCTTCCTCGAAGTCAAATCGTACGCTCACCTCTGAAGACGGTTTTTACCCTTGTGCAAGAAGTACAGATTGGCAGCTGTACAAAGTGATACCTTGTCATGTGAGAGTACGCAGAAATAAGGCTGAAGAGTGGCGATACCCGGGTGTCGTTCGGGACGCTGCCGCACTATCTTCAAGGTGCAGCTTTTGGTTGGTACCAAAACCTCGCAGTTAGAGGGTGGGAGAAATAAACGCGAGAGGGAGCAGATGTGTAAGGCTTTGAGCTGTGCTATGGTTAGGTACGTGGTCGGCCGTAGCGCGGGTGGAGTCTGGGAACGGTACTCCGGCATCACCTTCCAACTTCATTTCCGTGCACTTTTGAGCGGAGAAAGTATCACGTCGTTGCAGCTATAAGCCCATTCACCTCGGATGTGGCAAGGAATCGGCATACTAGAGTGACTGTAGACTTTGTGTTAGAAGAAGTTCTTTTAAAGGCGCCGTCTGGGCGAAGAATATCCTAGAATAATTGCCTTATTTGTCATAAGTGCACCGAGAAATCTACCGTGCTGGTGCGGCAGTGGAATGAGAAACAGCCTTGCAAGAACAGGACAAGAACATCATAGAATAGTTGCCTCTGCGCAACCCTAATGATCACAGTGCGCAGAGAAAGCTCGTCGCAGCTGGCTGATTTTTCTTGGGGGCAATGGCGCGCTTTCAGCGTAAGGCTCTGTTTTACAGTTCCCAGCCATATTGAGTTTTAGCAAGTGACCGAGGTCATAAGAATAATACCAAGCCCTGAACTCAATAGGAATGAGAAACCTTCTAGAAGGATTTATCGTTTGTTTCATGAGTTCCTTATTTTGGAGATACCGCAGAACCGTTTTAAAGTATTGTTTTGTGACAATTTCAACACTTGTGGATTGGCATTCGCAACATTATCTTGGGCCAATAGCATTCCCTAAAATGCAATGATTTACAAAGCAGGCTCGGTATAAGGATGCTAAAAGGATCAGAGTAACATTATTAGGCATGTTTACCGTCCCCATGGTTAGATGTACCGCTTGGGTTGATGGTAGCC